GGGAAAGAGAAAGAAGTGAGTACCAAGGAGAGGGACAAAAATAAAAGATGTAGCTGAAGTCTGAAACAAAGAGGAGAGCTGCTCAAATTGTCCAACTGTGCTGCAAAGTACTGCCCTTAACTTTTCCTTTGCACAGTGCATGGGTCACTTGTACTGATTGTCTGGGACCTCTTAAATGTAATAAATTCTGCCTTTGTGTATTCCTTTCTGGTGATTTCCATCACCTAAAGTGCTGCCATATAAAACTCCTATTTCTAAATAACATATATACCTGCCAAGATGTTTCATTTATAGTACCCATAAAACTGGCACCACCAGTTTGGCATATTCGTCTTTCTCTCTTTATTCTAGTCTATATAAGTAAAATAGAAACATTAGCTCCTGAGGACAAGGTCCATGTCTCAGCTGTGCTTGACCCCACACGGCAGTATGTTGACTTGATTCTTTGGGTGTTTAAAGAGCAACCGGGAACACGAGTGCCCTGATGAGGAGAATGATCCTGTCCTGTTCCATTTGGGCATTTAGTCATGCCAGTGAGTCCTCAACCCCGAGCCACAGCCTGCAAGCCACATTTTCGTCATGTGGTACTGATGGCACACAAAAAATATACGGGTGTTTCAGGACGCTTCTGTCTATGAATGTCTCTGTTTTTTATTTATGCCATGTGGCACAGGAACATTGAGGTGACTTTTACTAAGAATGAGGGGGTTGTGACTGACGGCTAAATAAGGGCTCTAGGTGGAGATAGGGGACGGAAGATCATGTCCGTACCCCTTTGCTGTCACCGTTGTAAGCACACGATGCCTTCTTTTTAAACCAAACATGGGTACAGCAGCTATTCACTCAGTGAATCAAAGTGCCTGACTCTAACAAAACTATTTCCCCTGATTTATAGAGAAATTTGTAACGCTCTGAGCATCTGTAAATGCTGCATGTTGCTCTGTAAAAGGGAGGAAGGAGGAACCAGATGGAAGAGCTTTTTTTAAAATTTTATCTGCTTTATAAAAATAATTTGTGAGAAGCTGTAAATCTTTCCAGTTAAAAAATTAAAAAGTGGAATATTTTAAAAACACTTTTAGGAGACAGCCTGTAAGCACTGCCTGTGTTCTCACTGCGTAGGAGATTCACAGAGCGAGGCAGATTTATGTTTTATTGAAAACCTTGCTACTGCCTTTAGTTCTTTGCTGTAATTGACACGCACTGAATACATTTTTATCTTCTTTCTATTTTCAGGAAGAGATGGCACCTCTTCCCACCTGGTGATACCAGTTGCCTTTATCCCACCAGGATCCCTTATGAGGAATCCAGCGTATTCAGCAAAGTGAACATTGCCAACCCCGATCTGAAACGCTTTCCCAAGTTCAGGAATGCAACAGCTCATGTCGTGACACTCAGTCCAGGGCAGGTATTATTCACATAAGATCTTTACATTCTTTTACAGATTCTAGTAAATAATTTAACTGGCTAATTAAGGTCTAGGAAATCTTAACAAATTGACTGTGGAACTTCCCTCTCCCCACACTCAGGCTTGATACATTTCTCTCAGCATGGGAACTTTCTTTGCTCAGTTATTTTACTAGCATTTTTTATCCAGAAACCGGAAACATTTGGAGAGTTAGTTCAATTGGCTGCCCAATCCCATCACAGTTCTTGCAATCACCTCTTAATTTGTCTGCTTTAAAGCTTTCTTGAACAGTCTTGAACCTGTCTTCTCTGAAACCAGTATGCTCCATAAAATGTATTTAATTAATGAGCATGTAGAGCCAGCAAAGGAACTCATAGTTTTATAGTAAATCGCCTTCACCGAGGAACACTGGCCCAACTTGTTGCTTTGATAGCAGAAGTATTGTAATGATGATACTTGCATTTGGAGTGCATACCACGTAGAGGTTTCATTGTGCTCTACAAGTATTGAGGATATTATTATCCCTGTTTTACTGAGAAGATTCAGTTAGAAGTGCCTGGCTTCTAGTCACACAGGCAGTCGGAAGCAGTGTGAGAGCAGGGCTCAGGACTCTTTTAATTCCTAGTCTCCTGCCATAAATTATGTCTTTCTTTATTTAATCAACATGGTCTGTATTTGGAGTCTGAATTACCCTTTTTTATTTGTTCAGCAGTGCATGTCCTTGTACCGCACTCCTGTGCATCTCAAACTGTCAGGCCTTTCCAAAGGAATGTTGCAACGTTCATTGCTCTGACCGCTTAAGACAGCGGAGTTGCCACTTCTAGAGCCTGTTCGCCATTCTTTTACCAGATTTTTGTCACTTTTTTTGACCTGCCAGCTCAGCAAATTATGCAGGTGTTCCCTTGCCCCTAGCTGGCAAACCTAGCTGCCTTCAAGAATTTAAAGAATGGATTTTTGCTAATCCAGCTGATTTTGAGGATGCAGAGTGAGGAGCACTCCTGTGAACTGGTGAGATGGCAGCCTGGAACAGGATAATAGTTTGCAAGAAAAGGATGACATTTATCAACTAAGAAGAGTATGCTCTTCCGTTGGTACGGTTGGCAAATGGGGAACCTGTGATCGACTTTCATTCTTTGCACTACGTTAGCTCCTAGTCATACTCCTAAAGCAAATGATTAGTTTTGCATTCTGCACTTTTTAAGATTGCAGTGTTCAATAACTTAAAGCACGAAGAAGTTTTTACTATTGATAAAAAAGCCACATTCCTTCAGCACTGCATTACCCATAATGCCTAACACTATTTCAATTTATAATCTCCTTTGGAGTGATCAAGTATGGTAGTGAACCTTTAGTATGATCTTAATTTTAATTAGGCTTAAAGCAATTACAAATTAATCTTACTAGGAATAAAGATCTTGAGCCAGCTGAGTAATAAAAGTTGTCTGCATTGCCCCGGAGGAGATGCTGTTTGGATTTCTGGGGAGAAAGTAAAGTAGAGGCAATGATGGAGCAGTGAGGTATTGCTTTTATCCATTTTTATCAGCACCCTTTGGGTGGTGCTTTTCAGCATCTTATCCAGAAGTTTGTGGGGCAGGTGGCTAGGGGGTGCTGCCGTTTGACTGAGAGGAAAGGAATGACTTGGAAGAACTCCTTTGTTAACAAGGGAGAGGATCCCTAAGTAACAGCAATCTTGATACCTGCTTAGCAGTGGTTTTCATGTAGTATTAATACAATTACTGCAGAATTTTCAGCCAGCTTTATTTTGTGATAATACATAGCATCTCTTCTCCTTCCCGGGGGTATGCAGAACATTTTGGGTTAGATATTATAACAGTAAAGTGTTGAAAAATAAAGACAAAGGTGTTCTTAGGTATTCAGGAGAGCAACTGCATGTAGGTTGAGTGCCGCTTTGAATATCAAAAACTTCATGTGAGTAATGCCACCTTCTGGTCGTTGTTTGCTACGAGCCACTTTTCTACGCCCATTTAAGGCTTTAAGGTGGAATTCCTTCCTATAACATTGTACCAACGCACAGCACGCACTTGGATTGCATCCTTTGTGCCCTTTCACTGTATTGTTCAGAGGTGAATCTCTTACAGATTTAGGTAGTTGGCTGAGATTTAATGTTTCATAAGGTTTTACCCTATATTTGACCAGTGGCTGTTGGCTGAATTTCCACAGAGGTCTTTATACACGTTCTGGTTATACAGGAATGATCTGAACTCAATACAAGTTATGATAACATTTAGGTATCATAACTTATCGAAATAGGCAGCTGAGTAGTTTTAGGGTTTGCAGCTGTGCAAGACTGTATCCATAAAGCTACAAGCTCAAGTTGTATCACACAAGTGTAGGGGCTCCTTCTGAGTATTTGAACCTGGTCACCTGCGTGATGGCTACAAGGCTGAGCAGCAAATAGGGAGGAGGAGATTGACTGCTGGTAAGATTTGTGCTCTCTGAACTATTGAGTTTTCACGCAAAGCGCTAGTGTTTTGTTTTATTTGTTCAAAAATTCTGCAGTGTTTCTAGTAACACCTTGATTGTTTCCACAGATATACAAATACTGCTTTAAAGATTGCAAACAGGGCAAAACATGTCTGTTCTAATATATTCCACCCCACACTCTGGGACAAGCGTTAAGAGAGTTAGATCTGCAGCCCTTAATTTAAACCCCATCCGGGACAGGTGTCCTGTCTGCCATCGGTGGGAAGAACCTGGCGCCTCTACAAGGTGATTCATCCTCCCAGTCTTGTACAATTACAGTCCTGCAGGAACATTCATCCCATCTTGTCCTTTGGCACAGGCTGTAAAAAAGCCTTCGCATATAGATGCTGAGCTTTTTTGATGACTAAAAATAGGAGAGATGAATCCCACCTGGAAAAGCTACAAAAACCTGAGACATTATACAAATACAAAATCATTGATCCTTCTTTTCTGTGCCCCACTTCTCACTTCCTTCCTGCTCACCTCTGTAACTGTTCTTAATCCACATAACTAGACAACGTTGAAGAGACGACCAAGTGCATCTCAGCTTGTCTCAAACTCAGTCTGTGTCCACAAATACCATTACCACTAAGTTTCTGCATGTCGCTGCAAGGTTTTCTCTTTCTGTGCTGCTGCTGCAGTATGTAATGTGCCACGGCTGCCAGGCAGGATCCCGGATCTCTCAGCAGCGTAGGCAGACCTCTGACTTCTGACCCAAACCCCGAGCAAGCAGAAATCTTCACGAAGGCAGGGAGGGATTTCCCCTAGATGCCACTTTTAAAGAAAAAGACAGCTTCAGATTGGGCTTAAAGCAGGCAATAGCAGAACAAACAGTCTGAATAATAAAAAAAATATAATTCCTACCCCAAAAAAAAGCATTGTATTAAGTCAGGAAATGCAGTAATTCAAGCTTTTTAAAAGGCCATGAGATGTTCCAGCTCAAAGCATACAAAATACTTTTTAAAAAGGGGTGCCCTGAAAAACTTCTTTTGTGGGCAAAGAGTTTAAATGGTTTCAGTATGGGAGAATTCAGAGCTGACAACAGCGTTATGCATAGCAGGTGGCTGATAGGAAAGAAGGGTCTCCCCATAGCTCCCCATATTTATCTTCCTGTCACACTGGTGTTCTTTGGTGCTTCCTTTTCACCCAAATATCTTTTCCTAATGAGCAGGACTTGCCTGGCAGAATATTTCGCTTTGGGGTATGCTCTCTTTTTGAAGCAATTCCACCTTTGCCCTTACCTTTGCACTGTATCGAGTTAATCATGTCCATGGAGAATTTAAACGCGTTCTGTTCTCTGTGCTGTACAAGTCATCGGCATTGCTCCACTTGCTCTGCCAACTGTTCTCTTGGTTTTTTCCCTTGTTACAGACCAGAAATTCATTTTTTTCTTGTCTGGGATTTCTGTCCTACTTTGACTTCATCTGCTGTGTTTGCCTATCACTAGCCTAAATATCAAAATTATCTGATTGGTTGCCGTTTAGATCAGTATCTTCCTAGCCCACAAAGCTAGATATATATTCTGTAGAAAGCAGGCTAACACAACATTATCTCTTAGCTTGGAATAGTTCTGTCTTGCTTTTGCACTTTAAGTTTCCCCTGTAAAATGTTTGCTGCATTTCTGCGTGTGTTATTTCACTGTGGTTTACGTTCACATTTCCCACTGAAATGTAGTTTCAGATGGAGCTAAATCTGTGTCTCGTATTCATAAACATATGGAAGCCTGCTTTATTATATCGTGGAATTGATAATTGAGGGTGGTAGTGGTGGGATTTTGTTTGTTTTGGGTTTGTGGTGGGGATTTTTTTTTCACTCCTAGTTTGCAAACCTAGAAAAATACTAGTTTTTAAAGGTAGAAGAATCCTACTCCTCTCTGCTGGATTTTTTTTTTCTTTTGTTATTTCTGCTGCTCCCTTGCCAGCTGTGTTTTTTGGTTTTAATTATTTTTTTTTGCATTTGCTTGTCTTCCTTAAAGTTTTATCAAAAAGCAAAAGGATTATGTCAGTTTTCTTGCTGCTTTAAATCCTTATTTTAACAAGCATAAGCTTGCCCAAATGTAAGAGGGAGAGCAAGTGTCTTCATGGTACCATGGCCTCTGAGTCACAGCTCTGCAGCTCCTCTATAAATTGTATCAGAAACGGTGCGAGCTGTGGAAATACTACCCTTAACCTGCTGGAAAGTGAAATCTGGTTAGTCTCTCCAAAGATCAAGTTTCTCCTCCTTGGTTTGAAAAGACTGAACTAGTTGTGGGGGACTGTATTTTCCTCCTAGTTATACCTCCTCTTTCCAAAGCAATTCTGTCTCTGCTTTGCATGCGAGTCATGTTGAGCCAGCATGTTCCATTCCTAATTTCCATCTTGTTTTTCCAGGCAGCCCTTTTTACTGAAACATTTATACACTTCCCTTAATCTGTCTCTTGCTGTTATTCCCTTGCTGCAGTGGTCCCTCTGCACCATACCCCAATTCCCTTGTGTCTTCATCCACTTTTTCAGCGTGTTGCAGCCTCATTCTTCCTACGCAAGTCTCACCATAAGGACGCTGTTTTGGAAACAGCTACTTGCTCCAGAAGCTCGACTGTCCTGCGGCGTAACAAAGTTTTCCAGGCTTCATCATTATACCCTGCCATTTGGAGGGCACCCAGGTTCTTTAACAGAGCTCAGTGCAAGATCCCCTATAGAGCAGTTGAGCATTTGGTTTTTGTGTGATCCTGCAGTCAGTGAAATGTAGGCGAACGCTTGGTAACAGCTAAACCCATGGCAGGTAATGCCACTGCACTTTTCATTTACAGTGTAGGCTTCTGTGATAAAAGCCCCACTCAGACTTGTTCGGTCTAGAAAATGTGTTTTGGCTTCAGTCTGTATAGTGTTTTGTACACTTTTAGATGTCAGGAGTAACTAATTGGTGATTTTTTTAAATAATAGCCCTCTGCAGACCGACTTCCTTCCCTGTTTTGTGTTTTGTACGCTGTACTGGGTTAAAGTGCCATTTCCAAATGTTTTTGACCTTTAGAGAGCCAATGCTTTTTTTGTTTGACTTTAATTGAAACCTGTGGAGAACATTTTGTCCTCTGGCCCAAAAACTACTGTGCTCTGACTGTCCTGTAAGTAAGTGTTTGCAGGACGAAGGACACGGTCATTTTTTCCCATGCAGACATTTTCTCATTAGCCGTGTTTTGATATAACAAAGCACAGGGCTATGTGTAGGAGAACATTCTTTTAAGTAATTTGTGTCTACCAAGAAAAAGACTTGTCTGCAGTTCGAATACAGTGCTTTACTTCCCCATTCTGAAGTGTATACTTTTTATTTGCTTCTGACCATTTTTATTCCTTGTCAAAAGCCATCTTTTATGCTTTTCTTGATAGCTGTATGTTAATGTAACATTCAGTAGTCTGTAAGGCTTGTCCTATATCATCAAGACAACATTAATGTCTTTGTACCATAAAAGCCATGGGTTAGAATCAATTTTATGTCACAGCTATCATCCTGATATAGTTGTAAAACTCTTATCTAAACTAGATTGTCATGATTTCTGGGACACCATCTTTTAAAAGCCTATCTACTAAAAGTGACAAGTTTAATATTGGTGACTATTTACCAGAATTAAAACTACATGTTGTTAATCACCTGGATGAGCATTAGGATACCTGCTTTTTTGCAGAAGCCAGCTGCTGATCCTTCTAAAGGGGCTGGGAATTCTGCTCAGCTAGAGAGTCTACAAGAAAATTCTTGCGTGGGTGAGACCTTCTCTAAAACCCTGCTCTACTGCTGCACCAGCTGCACTCCCTTTGTACGACCAGGTTTTGCCTACCCAGAGCAGTTCCTACTGCACGTGAGAAAGAGTTTGGATGAGAGGTAGATCTGGATCATGCCTACATCTTCTATGATAGTATCAGTAGAAAGGAAGGAGAGAATGGACGTTTAAGGCTTGAGAAAAGGCTCTTTAGAAGAAAGAGATAAAGGTCACCTCCCACCCCTATTCCTTGCCTTGTTCTGCATTTTGTTCTGCACCTTAATTAAAACTCCTTATCTTTCTTCAGGCTTGTGCTGCTACCCTAATGCAGTGTCTCTGATTCCAGGTCCTGCTCGTTCCAAGGCACTGGTGGCACTATGTGGAATCCATTGATCCCATCACTGTCAGCATAAACTCTTGGATTGAACTGGTATTTTCCTTTTTATGCCATGGTGATGCAGCACTTCCACATCTGCATGGACTTCTGTCCTTTGCCTGCTGGGTTCAGCCCTACTGAGTGTGCTCTGTTTAGAGGCTGGGAAGGGAAGAGGCCTTAGGGACAAAGTTTTCCCTGAAGAGCTTTCCAAGGTTCCAATTGTGTGAGGCACACAATTAAACACAAGCTAAAGCTTTCATGTCCAGTACCTTATGGGCTAACTAGCTCTGTGCTGAACAGGGGAAAGACAAAACAGCAACTTCACCTCAAGCACGTGCTTTCATGCAAAGCTATGTTAGAATTTAAAACGGATTAATGTGACAGGAAAGGAGTGGCAGAGGATTTTTGAATTCTCATTTCTCTGTGATAGTTTTGATTTGTCTGGAGTTGGATTTTCTCAAGTATTTAATTAATTTTAATTAAATTTTTTTCTTAATTAACCAGTTATGTACAGGATGGTAACAAGGTTATCTTAGAATCATAGAATAGTTTGAGTTGGAGGGACCTTTAAAGGTTCAGCCCTCCTGCAGTGAGCAGGGACATCTTTGACAAGATGATCTCAATGCTCCAGAAGATTTTCTGATGCAAATTACTTTATCATTAATCCTAGCTTAATATATATAAAAAAAGACCCTTTGAAATGGCCTGCGAAAGCTGCCTCACTAAAATACTTATTGCCTTTTTTAATAAAACTTTTTAGACTGGAAATCTGCAGGGGGATGAACACCTGTGTTCATCTGCAGTTCAAGGACAACACAGTACATTTCCCATACCAACATCAAACCAAACATTTGCAGAGCAGAGGAGCTCACTTGGATGTTTCCCTCATGGAGAAATTTCCCAAACAAGACTGTGTATTTAGAAGGGACAGCAGGCCCACAGCCCATACTGAGCTCTTATGTAGCCCTAAGTACACTTAGGCTACACCCAGCACCAGAGAAAGCACCGACAGTATTGCAGAACAACCATTTAAGCCTGTCTAAAATTTGAGCAGCCTTCAAGGTAATTCAGAGTAACTGGCTGTGTGCCCTGTGCTTGGGAAGACCCTGATGTCACCACAGACACTTGTAAGTTGTGCCTCGTAAATTATCCCCTTCTGGAGAAAAAGGTCAGGTTTGGGTCAGCTGTGCTGGGCTGATCGCTTCCGGATGGGTGGGTGGTGTGTTAGCTGTAGTATTTCTAGCTGTTCCTACATGCTGCAAGAAAAACAGATAACGAAGCTAAACTCCATGGCCTTTCTGGCCATAAAGGTCTTGCAGAACTCACCGGGATCCTGTCTGGTGACAGCAAGAACAGGTAGTTTTATGGCATCACAAACAGAGGAGTGTTTGCTGGATCTTGCTAATGAGTGACAGATACACTCCCCCTCCCCAAATATCAAAAGCTGCCGTACACAAGTGTAGCTATTGCAACCCAGGTGAAGGCTCCTCACAGAAATTCTCCTCACAGCTGGTGACGGGGGCGCTGTTAGGTGTTGGGCGGTCCATCTATAGAAATAAGTTCTGACATGAATGCTAGGAGACAATACTGAGAACATTTCCATTACCAAATCAAGCAGTTCTTGCTTGCGTCTGGTACCAGCTGCTCTCACATTGACAGATGTGAATCATGCCAACATTTATAGTCCTAGTGAAACAATTACATTGGCAAGACTTTAGAGTAAAAGTTTAATTTGTTATGATCTGGATGTGAGCTACTCAAAGTATTCCTTGCCTTCCTAACATCCTCTCATGCAAGCAGTACAACCTTGTTATTCAGCAGACCAGGAGCGCAATACCTTAAATAACTCCACATGTAGATACCACGCCCTGTGTTTTGGGGGCTTTTTATATGAGGCCAAAGCACCCAAAGCCAAAGTGCTAAGAGTGCTTCCCAAATTCTGCTCAGGGTTGCAGGATTACTTACTGCCTACAACACCTGTACAAGCGAGATGCGTGGTTTCCTTGACACGTTCCCCCCAAAGCCACAGTCAGGCAGTTGAGGGCTGTGGGCTGACTAGGTTACATCTTTGCTCCACAACTTGTATGTCCAAGCATCTCAATGAAAGCAAATTATGCATCCCATTCGGAGGCACTTGTCACTGAAATCACTAAACCCTCCATCTTGTTTGGAGAGTATTACCGTCTCCTTCCACATACCCTTCCCTTCCATGTATGAGAAACTCAGTTAACTAGGAAAAAAGCTAAGAGAGATCCCATAAAGTTTTTTCCTAAACTAGCTAGTACCCAGCTGTCCGAGGGGATGGTGTAGAAAGTGAAGGCCTGAAACAAATAGCCAGTTAATAACTTGGTTTTAAGTTTTGCAGGAGAGCTTTCAGCAGAAACATGCTTTTCCTTCTGCTGGTGTTTAAAACTGCAGCAGTATGTCAGCTGCTGTTACATGATAAAATATTTCCTGAATTTCCTTACAACTCCTGCCTCCATAGCCCCCAGATAGCAGCTGCCTTGCTGTACCATCCTGTGTGTTTTAAGTGTTTCAATTAGACATAGTATGTACTTATATAAAATTTTCTATGTGCTTCCATGGTCCTTCTAGTCCTAAAGAGCTATGTAAAATGCATATATTAATTAAATGCTAACACTGCATTGTAATTTCGAGCACCAGATTCAATTAACAGAACACTAATAAAGAAGAAGATTACATACACACACTAGAATCTATTTTTTGCAAATCCTTGCTCGGATGAGTAGTCACACTAAAGCCTGTGCTGTCACCCGCATGGGGGCTGTGCACATGAGTAGGAGCGTCAAAACCCTGAAGACTTTCACTGCCTTTGCATACATGAGTACAGCTTTCAGACTAAGGCTGTCCATTTAGTTCTTCCAGCTTTCTGCAGAGACCCAAGCGCTAACCTATCTCCAAACATTTTCTGTCCTCTTGAGGCAGGATGCAGATCATGAAGCCCGCATAGAAGAAGCAATAACTCGAATGCTGGTCTGTGCCATAAAATCAGCAGAAAATCCCAGTGATGGAGATCTCTGGCTAAACCCCACAGAGGTAAGCCCTCTCTTGCTCCCATTATAGCAGTGATAACAGAGAATTACTGACATTTTGCTTAGCTCCCCCTGAGTCTTTCTGCTGCTTGAGAAAAAGAATTTTAAATTCCTTCCCTTTATGTAGTAAAAGCAATTCGTGGAAGATAATCATACAATGCTGAATTGAAACATATCTCCTTTTAACGGAGTGTATCCTGGGTGTTCTCTTAGGTTGAGGCAACATCCCATGAAATCAATCTTCAGTACCTGAATAAAGCAGTGACTGCATATTTCAAGTGTCAAAAGGCAAGCGTGTCAGAGCAGGCATGTTCCAGCAGCACTGGTGCAGAGCAAAGGACAAGTGCCGCACGCAAGAGGAAGAAAGAGGAGGCTGGCTCTGAACCAGAGGGCTGCAGATTACTAACCCATGAGTTTGGATCTTCAGCATTTAAAGCAGAAAAGCTGCAGAATATACCTTTTGGGCCTCATCTTATTCAAGTTTTACCAGAGTCTGAAGAAACAAGCTCGAGGGGTGCAGTTGCAGTTGAAAGTGACGTTAGAGATCTTCTCCATGAAAATGAAGCAGGACATTTTGGAAAATTACACTGCCCCAGGAAGCAATTGGTAATGAGTAATGACCGTGAAACGCCTGCACATCAAATGGATTCAGACGGCAGTCCAAATGCTTCACAAACAGCCCTTTCTACCAATGATTTGCTAGACTGTTTGGTTAATCCGCATGTCATCAATTTAGTGGCTCGGCTGCTGTTGGAGAGAACAAGAGTTTAATGCTGGAGTGCTTTATCATTTCTCAAATAAAGAAATCAAATGGCAGCCTTGTTCTGGGTGTTTAAGCTTTGCAGTAATTGAATGCTTCATTGCAAATAATTTTTAGGTACAGATAGACACAGTTAATGGTTAAGTGGCAGCTTGAAGTTGAGCTGAAAGAACAATAGCCGGTTAACGATGGCTGGGAAGAGAAATGTGTGTTTAGTCAGAGAGCTTCTCAGCGTTACAAACAAAACGGAGCATACACGGTTATGCTCCCAGCACTCTGCGTGGATGGGATCTGTAAGGTGTTCTGCAGCTCTGAGCTATGAACCAAGTGAGACTTGGCAGTAGGAGGGAGTTCTGGGATGTCGTTGCGTAGCAGAGGGGGGCTAAGAGTGGGAGAAGATAGACTGACTTACTGTAGACTGCAGCCTTTGACCTCATTTAAAGTAAAATAGTAAGTTCGTCAGTTGATCACGTTAGAAATATTTCAACTAAACCTATGCTAGGCCAAGAGGCAACACACCCTCCGATGCACCTATTTCCTCCCTTCCACAAAATAACTTGGGTTTTGTCACAAAACTCTAGGATGGAGTGAGACAAAAGCCCTTAGCAAGAAAGTGGCCTTCAGCTAGTTCTGAAATTCTTGAAGCTGAGAGACAAAAGGCCATCAGAAGTTACTGTTGGGCTTTATTTAAAGCCAGATGTGCACAGTTCCCTATCTCTAAGGAACAAAACAAAGTGGTTATGACTTTCTGCCTCTATCCTGCTATTTACCAGAACAATCAAAATTTAATGATTTTTTTCCCTTTGGTTGTAAGCGATTGCTGTACTTTGAAGAAAGGATGGTCTTATATGGTAGTCCTTGGATTTGTTAAGGCTGGGTGGTCCTTGAAATATAAGCAAGGGTAGGTTAATGCTGAAGCTGTGCATGGAGGCTTGGGAAAAAAAAAAGTGGAAAGAAAGCTGCTGACAGCATCTGGGGTGCTCTCACCTCCTGTGCTTTCCATTTGCGGTGGCAGCAGAGAATGATATTTGCCCTAGCCATACCTTATGCTGGTGGGCCCTTTTGGTGCAGTTACTTCAGCTACTGGATGGGGCAGGATCTAGTGCTAATTCCTCTTAGAGTCATACATTTAGTTTGCCAGAGACCTTGGCTTTGAAATGCCAGTGACACTGAGTTAGCAGTAGAGGCCATATTGACTTTGTCTTTGACATAGCAACGTGCAGTTTCAAATGTCCTGCTCTACTTTGGTAATTGGACTCGGACCCCAATGACACCTGTGTATCATCTTCAGCAGCTACCTGCAGGTGAGACACAATTCTCAGCAGTGTGTGAGAAAATCCACTTTTCTTGTTTTATGTTAATACACAGAAGTGTCTCAACAGGGTCGCACCACTACAACGAGACCAGAATTTAATAAACAGTCCCGTTGATACAGTTCATGTCTGCGCGTTGGTGCTGCTGTGCCAAAATGATTAAAAAATTACTCGGGAAACATCTTAGTCACATCTGCTGCCTGTAGTGATTCACCAGGCTCCGAGGGAGCCAGTCTGTGGGATAAAGCAGCCTGGTTTCAACACACGGGCGTATCTCAGCAGAGCTGGGCTTTAGCAGCAGCCGCCTTCTGTCCGGTGCTGCGCTCAGGGGCTGGCACCAGCCAGAGCGCACCGCTGCCAGGAGCACTGGCATGGGATTCGGTTTAATTCACGGAGAAAAAGTAGTCTTGCAATAAAAAAGCTTTTATATCTCAGAAGAGCTATAGGTAGGGGAGGAAGAGCACAGGCAATAAAGTGGAGGAGGTGGATGACAGCACCACCTCCCAGTCCCCACAGCATGAGCTTCCTTAGCTTAAGCTTTCCTCCCAATGCTGAGATCATCTTAACATACCCCCCACAAGATCTATGCTGAACATTTTCCCCCTCTTTGTGTTCAGAGGGACTGTCCTTGAAAAGGCTCACTGAACATTTTGGGGGTCTTTGCAGGACTTGCCCCTCTGGGCAGAGGCTGGGCTGCCTATGTTGGGGGACCCATCTCGGACTCAGCATAGGAGCAGCCGTTCTCACGAGGCTGAAAAGCATCTGCTTGGAAGCACATTGCTTGTCGCTCTGAACAGATCCCTTCTGTCTGGGGAGATGCGGTTTATGCCTGTCCAGGTACAGCAGCCCGTGATTTAAGGGCCAGGCTGTGGCCAGAAGCCATTAGCAAAGGGGATGGGGAGGAGGGCGAGCAGCCTGTTTAGGATGCCAGGCAGAAGCACCAGAAGGACTTTGCGTCTCAAAGGCACCATATAAAATCTCAGTCGGACGCTCGACACATGGGGTAGGGAGAGAAACGACCACAAATTCGGGAAGTCACGTATGGCGAGTGGCTCACACACCAATAAGAGAAATTTATAGCTCTGACTCGATTTGCAGGATACTGAACACCGTGATTTCTGATACTGTTTCTAAATTCATGGCCACTGCATGGATGAGCTTGGACAAGTTTCCACATAGCATTAAAAATAAATGATTTCTGACCTCTCTGGTGACAGCCTGGCTCAACGAAGAGCAGGAACCCAGCACGTAGCTCTCCACAACCACTAATAAAATAACAGAACTTTGTTTCCCCTCCAAGAAAGAGTACTTTCCTGCTCACCATCAGCAGCGGACGTGGCAACAGTTGAGATTGTGACTGGAGCCATCACCAGGGTGGCCAGTGGCAATGTGCTGTCTCATCCCAAATCATAATCGGTTGAGCTGCAATGATCCCAGAGGTGAAATTCAGATCAATGTTGTGTTTTCCTTTGAGTATCTATTCTCCAAACATGCAGAGAAAGAGAGACAGAAAAAGAGAAAGAGGGAAAAAGAGGAAGCGAGCAGATACCACCACAGAGTCCAGGGGTGTCCCACAGGGCCAGCATCATTGGTGGGAGAAATTTCTGACTTTGTGTTGGTTTATAGTCCTTTTATTACCATTGTCCCTGCCTTCACTCCACCTTTTCACTGGAACTAATTTGCATTTTCTTGGAATATTCTTTGCATAAGCTCCTCACAGTCACCTGTACCATGCAGGCAGTCCCATTTTCGGGGTTCCTGAGGGGTCACTCTTGCTGAGCCTTCCTCCCCAGGTCATCTTCCTCGGTGTGACCCAACAACAAATCTGCTGCATGCACGTGCGTTTTTGTCATTGGTTATAGAATTTTGGGAGTCCAGCATTCCGTCAGTTGGGGGTTCCATATTTTCCTGCAAATGTTGCAAAAGTCCTACAGTCCCAGCACCTTCCAGGCCTCCCGCAGGTGTTTGTTGCTGCACAGGTGGCAGAAGTTCATTTAATCACTACAGCAGCAACCTGTGAGGATGAGCCCTGCAGTTTCAACCTATGCATCTTTGCAACGTGAGACAGTCTTTTCTCTCTTTATGTTCCACACATACTCATCATCTCTGCGATAGCTGAGTGGATGTAAGAGATTGCCGCTGCACGGCTTGGTGATAAAGTCAAAGCTCCAGCCCAGGGGCCAGACCAGGCAGTGGGCTGGCCCAGTGTGTTCGTCTCCCCGGGCACATCCAGGCCATCTCCCTTCCCTGATGGAAATCCTGGGTCTTGCACCAAAACCAGTTTTCCAGAGTGGTTCGTGTGCCGGCCTGGTTTATCTGTCCTGAACTGTCCAACATTGCTGCTCACTGTCACTGACCACAGCCCTCACCTAAAGGGATTTGCTTGTCAGAAAAGAATAAAAAAAAAAAAAAAAGCTACAAAACAAAACAAGAATAAATCAAGAACTCCTGCTTCTCAACTGAGCAGGGAGGGAAAAAACCAGATAGTTACATTTTCCAGAGTTTCAGCCTTTCACCGAAGAACTCTCCGTTATATTTCCCTGGGTACCATTTTATTTTACAGCACTATTTCCCTCCATGGTTACATCTCGGGACTTTTGCTCTGGCAACTCACTTGTAGAGCTGTGACATGTGTTATGGTATAGCGTTAACTATAAATTGAAATTTTAACTAACAAATGTGTCATATTGAAGAGGCAGAGAGAATCCTTCCATGGTACTAATTACCCTTTAAAATAAAGACGGTGGTACATATCAGTCCTTTTGCCAACTAGCAAGCTCCTTGCTGTGTTTCTTGGCTACAAACGTGAACTCTTTAGGTGTGTGGCAGGCAGGCTTCCTCTCTGGGGGAATTTCCTGACATTTCTGGTGTTGCTACACCAGTGGTTGCTGGGGAAAGACTTTTGCAAATGAGTGGCCTGGTTTTACCACCCGGTTTACCTAACGGATGAGGAGAAGGAGCCTGGGCCTTCCAGCCCATGCTTTTCTGTCCCCTGGACAAAGAGGTCTGATCCCAGAGAGAGGATCAGGCAGATGTTGCCACATCAGCTGAAGGGGAAGTGGGAGGATGGTGCTTCTGCCACACATTTCAGAACTGTGGTTTTGGAGACTTCCCAAGCAGATGCTCCACTAGACATTTGTTTCTCCATCTATTTGATGAAGTTTGTCCATCTTAGCGGGGAGCTAAAAGCTCTGGTCTCTTTGGAACAGGTGACGCCTGCTCCCCACAGCCTGGGTGTTGCCCGTCTAAAGCACCAGGCAGTAAAATTCCCATTTAACCAACCCCAGCCTTGTCCTGCCCTGGCAGGGCACATGAATCCAGTTTAATTAGCAGCAGCCCTAACAAAACCGCCTGAAAAACCACTATTAAAATGAAAAATGATGTTATGTAAAAAGAAAGCGGAGCAAACGGGGCCACAATACAACTTACTGCCTTCCCCAGACAATCAGCCTCATAACTTACAAGGAGCTCAATGCATCGCCTGAGTTTGAGTCTGTTTTCCCCCAGGGAGGTAACGTATTACCTCCTTTCCACGTTCTGCATTCACTCAGAGCATTGCCTTTTTATCTGAAGAGATTAGGATCTCTGCTGTGGTTAAAATCAGAAATTTCGGCTACGTTCATTGAAACGTAGTTTAATTGCTTGTTTGCTGCTACCTCGGCTGAAAGCTAAAGAATTTCAAAGATTGATGCCACATGGTGCACGTGAATTTAGCCACAAGTGTCTTCTGCTGATACTC